GGGGGAGAGGCTCAGGGAGCTGAGCGGGGCCACAGCCTTATATTTGGAGGGAGAGGGCAGGGCCTGGGACAATGTAGCTCACCCTCCAGCTAGTGTGGCCTCCGGGAGGAAATGTGCACAAGGTCAAGGTGGAACCTGGCTGTTGGTGGGCCTTGGTCCACTTGCAGAGGCCCAGGACATGGCGCTGGGAGGGGCCCTGCCGGGCAGGAGGAATGCCTCCTAATCTCCCCTTTCCCAGGCTGACTGCTCAGGCCATCTGGTTCAGGGGAAAATTTAAAACCACTTGAAATGCAGCCAAGAGGAGCATAATCATCACTGATCCCCTGTATGGCGCATGGACAGCAGGCCTGGCTGCCTGCACCATCTCGTTTCCAGTTGGGTGCAGGAATCACTCCATCCTCTCTCCCTGCATGATTGGAAGTAAGGCTTCATTCAGTGTGCAAAAGAGCCAGATTCACTGGGTTCAAATCCTAGCTCTGCCACTTTTTAGCTCTGCAACCTGAGGCAAGTGACTTAACCTCTCTGTGCTTTAGTTTCCTTGTCCGTAAAGTGGAAATAAAAATAGCACCTACTTTATAGGGTAGCAATGAAGGTTAAATGAGTTAATGTATGTGATAAGACGGTGCCTGGCACATAGTAAGCACTAGCGATTGTCTCTTGCTACCGAGCTCAGGCCAGCCCTTGCTTAAAACTCTCTATGGCTCCCCACTACCTTTGAAGCACAGCCCATAAGCCTAGCTCTGGTGTTTGAGGCCCTGCTTGGCTTGGCACCTACTAATTCCTGGCCTCACTTTTCTCCCCTGTCCCTCTATTGAATCAGTGGGGATCCCCAAACATGCCACACCTTCTCTTGCCTTCGGGCTTTCCCTCTGCCTGGATTTTGGCATAAGCTCAAACATTGCCCTCTCCCTGAAGCTTCCCTGGTACCCTGTCCAGGTGAGGTGCCATCCTCCAAGTTCCCAAGCTGCCCTGTGCTTCCACCAACATGTTAATGACCTTAAACTGTCTATTTGACCAACTTGATTGAGTCAAAAGGCAGATGCCTGACCCCATCTCTCTGGTATCCACAGAGCCTCCAACAGTGGCTGGCACAGAGCAGGCATAAATAAAAGGTGGCTGAGTGAATGAAAGAACAAATAAACAGACAAAGCATTGGGACCACAGAGCCCATCAGTGCCCGCTGGATGGCAGGGCCTGGTGCTCAGAAATGAGCTGGAAAAGATGGGTAGGGTCCCACAGTGAGTCTGGAACCTATGGAAATCAAAGATCTCAGGACTGGGCAGGGGGCAAGGTACAGGAGGTGGTCTCCCCAGCAGGTGACCAGTGTCAGCCCCGAGGGGCTGGGCCCTACTCACCCGGCGTCCCTTAGCTCCCCTCATGCCTGGTGGGCCTCGAGATCCTGGAGGACCCTGTGGGGAGAAGAAAGAGTTTGGAGAAGCCCTTTGTTAGAGAGGAAGTCCAGGACAGGGGGCTAGGAGTAAGGGGCCAAACTTGGCTTCAGTGGCCCCCTGCCCGGGCTCAGCAGCCTTCATTCTAAAGGATTTGGCCCAGTGAGAAAATCTGTCCCACTAGAGGAGGCAGAGGAGAAGCTGCAACCTTGGGCAGGAGTCTGCCCTGGGCTAGACGGGGTGCTCAATCCTTCCTAGGAATCCTTAGGGGGAGACGCCTCCCTGCATGAACCATTTCCATCATTATCTCAAAATCAACAGGCAGAAGCTACAAGACATTTCTGAAAAACAGGTCTCCTCAATTTCCCATTTCCTCTTTTCTGCCCCCATCAGCAAGGAGAATTGGCAACCCAAGTTCTGTCTCCTACCTTGACCCCAGACATCACCAAAGGGATACCTGAAAGCCTTTTCTAGCCCCAGGGGAAGAGTAGGAACAACCAGATACAGCCCCGAGGTGAGGGAGGGGGAGAGGAGGCTCCCACAGGGAAGGGAGGGTCGGGGTGGGGGGAGAGGCTGGG